ATTCGAAAAATATGTTTAGGTCAAAATAAAATAATTTTTGGTCAGTCATAAAATGAAAAATAGTGTGTAGTTTCCATGGATTTTGTACTTGTCACATCTAATTAAAACTAGTTTATGCGCTGAATTTTTTAATATTTGCTTGTCTGGTATTCGGAAGATAGCGGTATTTCTGCGCCATGCTTCGGAGATAACGTGTCGAATTATCGTCTCACCGGAGTTTGAGAGTGAAAAATAAAGAATAGTGCACTTGTGTCTAATGTTGAGTTATTTAAGTAATTTATTATTGTATTTTTGCTTAAAATAAATATATTTATTAAATTTATTAGATAATTACGTGAATAGGAATAATAAAAGCCACATTTTGTACAATTTATAATTTACTTTATATAAAGATATTATATATTTAATTATATAAAGATAATATATTTACATGACATGGCTAAAACAGTAGTTAGAGGTGGGGTAGTCTGAGATTTCTTATAAAAGAGGGAAACGCTATCAGTAACGACAGATTTGGGCTTGGGAATTTGGTCGGGTCGTTGCTCCGCTCCCTATCGGTTTTATCTGACTCTGTGTAATTGCCGATAAGTATTGTATATAAAAATCTAATCTTTTAAATAAAACTGTCTTTTTTGCAGATTTATTTTGATTTTTTGATTTCCGACGTTTCGAATGCTTTGAGATGTTTAGTAAAACCTTAGTCTTTCCCGTGACCAGGATTGTTGTATATAATTTTGCTGTATATATTATATTTAAACTGGCAAATATACGTGTATATCTAAGAAATTAATATCTAATATATATATTTTTCAATATTGATTGTAATTATAGATATTTAATTACTATTATTTTGATGAACTACACATACATACTTTAAATACATGCATATTATAAATATAGACATCCATGACACTACAAACATTCGTGCTTATCACATAAATGAGTGTCCTCAGCGGGTCTCGAATCCGCGACCGCTGACACAGCAAGTAGGGTCACTACAAACTGAGTAATGTATGTTAATTGTATTTTATACAAATTAAATGAGTAGCATATGTATGATTGACGATAATAGTAATAGAATTTTAAGCAGTAGTAGTTATAGTATTTTGCTTTAATTTATTCCTATCAATGCCCCTTTTGCTCTGAAGCTTTTATATATTTTTTAATTAAAGGCCCATTCAGAGATCGCCATTGCCAATGGGAAACGTTATCGGAGTCACTGTAGGAAACAAATAAAAATAATTAAATAAATAAATAGAAGTAATTATCTTAATAACAACCACATGTTATATAGAAAGAGAAATAAAACTTAAGCCAGTCTCGATTTCAACATAAGAATTACTGAACCTAACTCTAAAAGCCAGTAACATGTCAAAGACAGTGGAGTGGAACAAACCTAGTCCATACAATCCTCTTAGTGGCCGATATGTCGCTTTTAAAAGAGATTGTGGTCAAGGAAACTATTTTTAAATGGCTATTTCAAATGATTATATTTGACTTAACTAAGAATTACTTTATTTGATACAAACAGTATGAAAAATTGTTTTGTATATTATGTAATTTGTATATTGTAAACTAGCCCTCTTCAGTGGTTCTGCTTATAGTATTGTGCAAAAACCGTACTTATTCGGAAAATAACATGTTGAGGTAATAGTTACATTTTGAAGTCCAACAAACATTTAATTATATTCCTAAGTATATATTTATGTTATTTATAAGTAGATCTAAGTTTTTAATTCTAATAATAAGTTGGTAGAATAACTAAAAATTAGATGTATGTAATTTATGTTATAGGCAAAAGCTGATTTCAGTTTTTTAACTTCGCAATATTTCTTTTAGAAACACTATTTACTTTTACTTAATACTTAATGCCTTGAAAGAATAATAAACTAGTTTCAGGAAAAAACTTAAAGTAGAAATTCTTAAGTTTTCCGGATACTAAGAAACAAGTTTGTAACTCGTGCTTACCACAAAATTGTTATGAGTTTCTTGAATAAGCAGTTGAAATTTTAAGATTGTCGAAATCTTAACTGAGCAATTTATTTGAGCGATATTTAAGCAACTAAATCTAAAATTGATATTTTTGTTTTAATTATTTTTAATATCTTCCAGATATTATAGCCGACGTAGATTACTGTTTATGAAATACTAGCGACTTACCCTCGCTCCGTTCGGGTTCGTCCCTGCTTACGTTTTAACGTTTAGTATAGATTTCTCAGCGATGAGATATTTTCCCGCAGTAAAAGTATCCTATATGTTGACCCGGATAACCAGCTATCACCATGCCACATCTTATCAAAATCCCTCCAGTGGTTTTTCTGTGATGCGGTAACAGACAGACCGACAGACAAACATTCTAAAACGTATAGATTCGGCCTCTGTATCGAAAATAATGTTTATTTCAATAAGATTTTCCAAAAAATATTTAATGTACAGATTTAGCTTAGTTACAATTTTATTATATGTATAGATTATAGCTTATGTTAACATATTAAAGTCATAAAACTTCAGGTTTTCAATATTTTGTTCCCAAATCGGGTTTCGATTGTTCTATATAATGTTTTGCTTACTTTAAATGAAATTTTCTTTTACAACTTAATTTAACCAAAATTTATGTACATATTTATGTACTGTCCATAAATATAATCCTTCACACTACACTACACATATTAAAAATATCTAAATCGATTCCCAATAATATCATGTACAAAATTTACACCCCGATCTGAAAACCTTTTTTAAAGTGAGTCAAAAATATTCAGACGCTTATATTAATAAATACCTAAATTTTTTAAAATAACATATTTTTATAAAGTTACTATTTTATAAGCTAAAATTTTATTTAAACACAATATCTTTAAAGAAGTTTAAAACGTATAAAATCTAGATACAATGTTGGCATGCCATAAAGTGACCTCATAAAAGGATAAGTAATCTCTTCCCTTTTAGCTGAACAATAAAATACCATAAATTACACTTTATTTAAACTTTGAAATTTATTTTAGCTTAAAGTCAATAATTTTTTGTTATAAAACTATTTTTATTTTTATTTTTTATTCACCAAATTAAAGATAGCTTATTTTGTGCATGAAATGAAGATGTCAACAAATTTTTTTTTTCTTGGAAACTGTGTTTCCTCCGAAAGAATGAACTTTTAACTGATCTATGTAGATACCTGCTCATTTGGCAACAGTATGATTATCACGTAGACATTCTCTAAAATAATTATCTTGGTGAGAACTGATAGTTACTAAAGTAAATTTTCATTCTTTCAAATCCTCATCAATTTTGAGCTGAAAATATTTATTCCAGTATAATCGTAATGTAGGCTTGATGGGCCAACCGAAGAAAACTATTTTTAGGAAAAAATGATGTCGATCCTATCCCATCGGCAAACCAACAAATAAACATATTGATATTTTTATAATTTTAGTGAGTATATATATATATATATATATATATATATATATATATATATATATATTTGATACTCAAATATTTATTTTCGTTTATAAACTTTTCTAGAATCTTTTATGTTAATATATCGACTTTAAAAAGTCCTTTTTCTAGCTCACTTTGCCATTATAAGAATATGTGGTTTGATCTGAGCGATAAATTAGTTAATAGAGAAATTCATACATAAGCAATGAAGTGTCAATACAATTATTATAACTGACATTTAAGTGGTTTTCGTTTAACTCCAGTGGGTACTATTCGTATCAGTTTAGGGAAATATAATAGCAATACACTCTTAATATTTTTTACAACTGGGGTTTAATTTTAATTTGGGGTTTTAGACAAGATGTCATTCTGCAATCGTTGAAGAATAGAAAACTAAAAATAATATATACTTCTTTGTTATACGGCTTTTAAGGCAAAAATATATTATAGGAGTGACTTAAAAGTATAATTCTAGGACATAACGATATATTGAATTTAAAAAAAATATTGTTTGTCATATACAAATAATATATATATTTTTAAATTCAATATATTTCGATATAGGTACTTAATATAATTCCGGCAATATAGAAAGAATAATTTTATAATTTATGTAATTTTTATTTTTTTAACTATTCTACAACGAAGCGCCTTGAATTTGCTTTTCTTAAAAAAAAATTTTTTTCTTGAAATAAATTGGTGTTATATACAAAAGAAGTTTTATAATTTCATGTAAAATGTAGTATCTAGCTAATGTTTATTTTTCCAAAACGTCTTTACAATTGTTTTGCTAACAATTCAAAGACTTGGAGAGACACAAGTATAAAGAGGTAAAACGTAAGTAAAATGTTTAATTAAGGTTGAAATAAAAGAGTATTTCACATAGACATTTAATTTTATCAGTAGACACGTCTTTTACATTTAAATTTGATTAACTCGTAGCAAGCTTAATGTCGTAGGTGGATTTACTCGTATATGAGAGTTCAAGGTCAAAAATATACAGATATGCTTATGTAACTTGGTTTTTCGTGGAAGTACGGGTAAATTCAGCTGCCTAGTAAAATATTAGCTTCCTCAATAAAATGTAAAGCTCGTGGTTGCCCAGTGGTAACGCGCTTGCTTGGGAAAGCGAATGAAGCGGGTTCAAATCCCAGGTCTCGCACCTCTGATATTCTCATGTTTGAATCATTTACAAAATGATTACCACATGTCTTATGGTGAAAGAAAACATTGTGAGGAAATTTGCATGCCTGAGAGAACCTAGCAAGTTTTCGAAAGACATGTTAAGTCCGCCAACCCGCACTTGGCCAGCGTGGTGGACTATGACCTGATCCCCCTCGTATTGAAGGGAGACCTGTGCGTATTAGTGGGTTATTAAAAAGAACTGAATACAACGCATGAATAGGTTGGTTTTCCGGATATTTTTGTGTATTTAGACCAACATTTGACTTAATATTGAAAAGTTTATTGTAAATATTTACTATATTATTTGTATTATAACAAATCTAAGAAAAGCTGTAAACTTTATGTCAGATCATTGTCATGTTTCAGATAATTTAAGAGCAAAAGCAAATTAAATGACAAACTCCTTTTTTGTAAAACAGGAATTTAGTACAAAAATCATTGCATTCCTTGTTGTTTTTGCAAAAGCTCCTCTTTACTATATGATGCTCAAGGTTTTTCCCCTCTGGATGTCTTACTTCATTTAGAGGTTGACCTCCTTGTTCAAAATCTGTAATTAAATTATAATTTATTATTCTTACAACTATCATTAACTGCACACGTTCTTAACATAATTTATTTAATATACGTCATTGAGATGGTTAATGTAGAAAGACCTTGAATTTAGTCTGATTTCGTGTGATATATATATATATATATATATATATATATATATATATATATATATATATATTGGTTACATTTGAAAGAGCACATACTAAGTGTTACAGGTATGAAATTCAAATCACTGGACCTCGAAGGCAAAAATAATTTAAGCCGTAACAAGGAAAAGTTTGTATGAAAATTCAATATTAACTTACTAGAAAAAGTAACAAAAAGCAGCAGCAGCGCTGACAGCTAGTTGTAAATAAAGGACATATCGACAACTGCGTGGAACAATGTTGTAACAATTTGAGCATTGTAGCAATTTGAATTTGTACTTCAAATATCCGAGAGATATATTTATTTAAAATTAAATTAATAAAACAAAATTTGTTCAATATGAGTTATAATGTTGTATTTTAAGAATGTCCATAATATTTGGATTTTTGATTATACACACAATGATAATTTCTTTTTTTCCTAGCTTGAAAAAATATAAAGCAAGCTCCATCATGTTCTGCCAATATTTATTTTATTTAAAAATATTTATATACTATATTAAAATGTTCGACAGGTGTCCTAACGCAGTGTGGCATACATGCGAGACTCAAACTGTTATATTGATATGTTACTTACATAAACAAAATATACAAGCGTGTATACTATTTTGGACCAAGTTTTAGTACGGGCCTCCATGTGACATATTAACAATCATAATATATAACACCTCCAGGTAAATTTCAAAGAAATTAATTAAATTTCTAAGAAATCTATTGTTAACTGACACGCCGACGCACTATGGGAAAATCGCGTATGTTTCGTCTCAAAACTCCGTATCTCAGTTGTTTCAAAACTAAATGAGCTGTAATTTTGCACACATATACTTGTATGTACAAAGTTTAACTGAAATAATTTTGATTTTGAAAATTCTGTTTATTAATTAATTTAAGAAATAAAACTTAAAAAAATACATGCATTCATATCATTAATAATACTCATCACTGTAATGAACTTTTATATTATTAACTAGCGACTCACCCTCGCTCCGCTCGGGTTCGTCCCTAACGTGGGCCACCCTTATCACTTAGGGGTATGGAAAATAGATAGTAGCCGATTCTCAGACCTACTGAATACGCATATAAAATTTGATAAAAATCGGTAAAGCCATTTCGGAGGAGTACGGTAACTAACATTGTGACATGGAAATTTTATATATTAGATAATACTCATCACTGTAATGAACTTGTTATCGATTTGACCTTAATAGATAACAAATAATTTTATGAGAAATAATAAGAAATTGAAAAAAAAAATGATTTTTACCTCGCGATATGTTTTGACACCGTGACAAAAAAAGTGCAAATATGTGTTTATTTTTTCTCCTTGCGTTAGCTAATGTATAAAGATCTTAATACAACAAATATCTCGACAGCGGCAAGCAGCGGTAATGGGTAAACGTCTCGTTAAAAAAAAATTAACCCTAAAACATACCATATTAAACTATGTATATTGGTTAATTTTATTTTATCAAACTAATATATATAATACTAATTACGAAACGTTAAGAGGAGATTATAAGCATTTAAAAAATGTATAATACTTATACATTTATATCAAAAACTTTCGAGTAATGTGGCGTTGAATTGTAGTAACGCATAGCGTCAAAATTACGTTATTGAACATGAGTTAGCTTTGAAGCCTATTTGTATACATTATAACAAAAAAAAATTAAAATAAAATTGGATAAAGAAAGCTTATTATATTAGACTTATATTAGACTATATTAATTTATTATTTTTATTCCATAACAACGACTTTCTCGTGAAACGGTTTTGAGACGGCTTTGTATGGGGCTTTCCCATAGTGCGGCTTGTCCGCGGTCGTGGAGGGATTAAAATTGACGTTACAAGTCGAAATTGAGTCGAAACTTTATAGGATGTAATAAATGTAAAGATTTTAAAGTAAAAAATATCTAAAATGAAAATATTATTTAAAAAGTAGTACATATAAAGTAACTTACCTGAGTATGCATGAATATTATAAGCCACAACACAAATTAGACCAAAGAAAAATACGTAGACCCTCATGTTTGTAATTATACAAAATGTGTGAGGTGCTAATACAAGGACTGTTTTATATTCTAGTACAAGAAATGCAAGTAAAAGGGGATTTTCTTATAAAATTACGTAAATAATCATATCTTTGTTATAAATGTATGTCACTGCGTTGCTTACACTAATGTACGATAAAGAATTTTCCTTACCTTTTTGCAATTTTGCATAACATTGCGCATGAATATTGACCGTGACTACATATACTAGGTTTTAGATATGTATATTGCTTGCTTACAATTACATTATTTATTATTAAGTCTTATTAAGTTATACGTAGCTTGTAATAAGAAGAAATTCAGATGGAGTGATTCGATCCAAATTATATTGTAATGTTCTCCCAAATCACTTCGGCCATGGCAGTCAATCTCATTGAGACTAGCCATCTTCGCAGGAGATATTGTAGTGCACAAATATACGCACAGACACAGACTACACTCGACACGACCAGTGAGAGTTAACGCGCAGGACTGACGGCTTTACGTGCTCTTCGAGGCATGGGGGTGAAATACCGCCAACTTTCCAACTCCGGGATGTTATTGTAGTTACAATATCCTTTACAGAAGAACTCAATAATTTAACCCGACTAGGAGTCGGAGTCAGGAGTAGGATCGGGTCGGGTAGGTTCGAACCTAGGACAGGTTCAAACCTACCCGACCCGGGACTCGAACCTAGGACCTCCGGATGTGCAGCCGTACATATTAGCCACTACTCCACCGAGGCTAATTATTCTTTATTTTACCAGTTACGCAATTGCATCCAGTAAACAGGTCACCTCTAACCTAAATACCTAATATGTAAATATACATAGACATAAAGTATAAAAATATTTTCTCATTTAAATATGAGGCCACTCTTTATTTAGCGAATAAAATGAACTGCCCGTTTTCTAACCAACCATGAAATAGAACTTTATTATATTTAAAGTAAATATTTTAACAAACGTTTCAACAAAGACAATTATATGAACGTGCCAACTTGGACACAAAGGACTAAAATAAAAATATAATAATATCATCTCGTAAAATGTGTGTAGAAAATATTACCAACCTTTACGGGCTAAATTATTTGATTTTAACTGTGGAATGAATTTTTCATGTGGGCCTAAGTAGATGGCAAAATCCAGAGCTATGGGAATGGGAAGGCGGAAAATGCTCAAAGGAATTACGGGGCTGATTTTACTAAAGCTCTAATGGATCGTTAGATTTTTATAAGATTTTATTTATTTCGCTCGATTGTCTGTTTAATTGATTCATTTTTAACGCCACATATACACAGGTCGATATTTTTTATTTGTATTGCTCTATCCTTATAATACACCTTTTATTTTCCCACCGAAAACTATAAAAAATATTATGTGGTTCACATTAACAATTTATCCCCATTTTGTAATTTTTAATGCACTAACCGGAATCTGATAATGATAAATTTTGGTATACCTATATAACTTTGGTAACACTATAGTAATATATTAATTTATACGTACATATATAGTCTCTTCGAACATGTATAAAAAATTGTTTATGATGGTTATAGTTATATTTGTTTATGTATTTGCTTTACATAAAATAATAATACTTTAATTGTCGACGATCCAATACTCACAAGCGATATAGAGCCCCTAAGTCTAAGAAGAGATTTTGCGTCCCTATGTATGCTCTATCGTTTGTACAAAGGGTTGTGTTCCGAAGAATTGTTCGAAATGATGCCCACGGCCACTTTCTATCACCGCACCGCTCGCCATCGACAGCGAGTTCATGCTCACACATTGCACCCCAAATGGTCCCGTACAGTTCGGTTTCAGAGGAACTTTCTCCCACGGACCATCTCGCTGTGGAATGAACTCCCTGCCGAGGTTTTCCCAGAGGGCTACAGTATGGGGTCCTTCAAAAGGGGAGTAAATAGGTTTTTAAAGGGTCGGCAACGCGCATGTGATGCTCCAGGTGTTGCAGGCTTCCATAGGCTGCGGTAACCGCTTACCATCAGGCGGGCCGCATGCCTGATTGCCACCGACGTGGTATAAAAAAAAAACTATGTAAGTATGCCAAATAAGACATGTAATTAGGCCTAGAAATATACTTATAATGGGCAAAAGACATGATTATATTTATTTTAATTTTAACGCTCATTTAAAAGTACTCACTAATTGCTGTTTCAAGGAAAAAGTTACAAGGTAGAATTTTGTAAGTTTCTAGAATACTTAAGAATCAAGCTCATAATGAAGGAAGGGAATCGAGAATATAAAATATGCAAGGAACAACGATTATAAACGTCAATTAATGTTAAGTTTACCTTTAAGGTATTAAATTAAGCTTCTGTAATCAATATAGGGATGTTTCTTATCTCTTATCTATACATATAATAAAATTGTAAGTAAGCCGAATCTGCACATTAAATATTTTTTGGAAAATCTTATTGGAATAAACATTATCGATACAGAGGCTGAATCTATAGTTTTTAGAATTTTTGTCTGTCTGTCTGTTACCGCATCACTGAAAAAACCACTGGAGGGATTTTCATGAAATTTGTTATGATATAGCTGGTTATCCGGGTCAACATATAATATACTTTTTATTGCGGAAAAATTTCTCATCTCCTGAGAAATCTATACTAAACGTTAAAACGTAACTAGGGACGAACCCGAGTGAAGCGAACGTGAGTCGATAATCTCATATAATTTCAATACAAACCCATTCTCTATCATTCTAGTTGAAAACAAAATTAATTTTATAGTACCTAGTGATGTATCAAATAAGTTTCGGCATTACTAATTAAGATTAGGCGTATAATATGAAAATAGGTACAGTAAATCGTATTACTGCTCCATTGTAAGATCTGCTGGATTAATCCCCCATAGATTATTCACTACATTATATTCAAGTTCAGCTAGATCCTTTAATAACTTTGAACTGAAAGATTCACAGATGAGGAAAATCTTTTAATTTATTTAATGAATTATTTATTTATGAACATGAAATCTATATTGTATTCATACTTTGATAAGGTCCCACTGCTGGGCACGGGCCTCTCTTCAGTAGGAGGGGGGTTAGGTCATAGTCTACGACACTGGCCAAGTGCGGGTTGGCGGACTTCACTTTTCTTTTGAAAACTTGCTAGGTTCTCTCAGACATGCAGGTTTCTTCGTAGGCTGCAACTGCCTGAAAAAAAAATGGAAATCTATATACCTATAGTTATTTTAAAATTATGTAGACAGGTAATTTTATTAAAAAAAAACAATATAAAGAAAAAATATCTTATAAATAAAAATCAATGGCTAAATATGTTGCTAAGTGCAATACTCGAGAAAGGCTGGACTAAATTGGCTAATATTTTTTTTAATATTCGTATAGATATAATATGCCACTTCCATATCTATTTCATCTATGTTTGATGCTGAATTCGTCCTCAGCAGAAACTGTATTCATTTCATTATAAGTACATGTGTTGATGAAACTTCTAAACATTCATCACTCTAGGTGACGTTAGAAGTAATTAAAGACCATTCGTATCCGAAGGGAATCGATATATACTCTTACGTTCAAGGACGGAAAACTTAAAGACTTTAGTCGTAATATTTCTCATAACTTGAAATCAATATTGATTTACCATTTTAAATGTTTCTTGAGCTTAAAGTATTGTAAGTTACCTCTTAGTTTACTTTTTGAAAGTCGTAAGTTTAACTTCATTAGTTTAAGGCTAACGTGAAATTACTACAGCTCGTGTGATAGTAGTGTACTTATGTATTTTTTTTATTGGATTAAATATTAGATTAGATAATATAGTGGGTTCGATTACCTCTAAAAAGTAAAGTATCTACGTATGTGTTACTTTAGACATATTTGGAGTAACAAAATAAAAAAAAAGTTTTACGAAGTAATAATACCTATTTCTTGTTCAAAATTAACGTATCGCTAAATATTAAACCGATAATCAAAAGCAACATGAAATTATTGGCATTGTTGGTAAAAGAATATTGGTTTAAAGTATCGTTATAAAATATCGATAGCCTGCGCTTTATTTCTAGGAAACTTAAGCTCTAAGCCAAGAAGTGCTACATACGTGTGTAAGCAAAATGTAAAGAAGCCACATACTGAAATATCCACTTGCTTGCATATCAAATCATTTCACGCGAGAGCTTTACACACCCCACTGGTTCTTCAGATAGTAAACCGTTATAAATTTATCAAAATATGTTCCAGGATAAAATCCTCTTGCAATGAAAAATTCTCGCTTGTTAGTTGGAAACCATTTGTTTATACACTAACAAGATAACTTACGTAATGATACGTCGAACGAGCTTTGTCTCTTGCTTTTTACTGCAGTACACTTATCTAGATATTCTGTTATTTTCATCGTTAGATGAAATGGATAATTTTTTGTCGTTAAAAGAAGTTATATTTCGTCATTTTATATGCATTCTGTGGTTTTAGGATTGACGTTATTTATATCATAATAATATACTCGTCCATTGTTCGCAGAAATAAAATATGACCAAATCGCTCACGCAATTTTTTCTAATTATTTTTGTAATATTACGGATACATGGCGTCACAAGCTTCTCAGCATCTTCCTAAGTGTTCATCACTAAGACCTCAGGAGCAACATCTATTGCGAGTCGTATCTAAAATGTTATAATACATATGTTGTTAACGTGAGCGTTTCCGCGTAATTTGTAGGGCGCGCCATCTCACGGGTTAAGTGAGATCACGCCTCTCATATGTAAGGTCAGAAAAAAAAATTTTTAACAACAGCATAGGACAAAATCGAATCAATTTTCATTTAGTATCACGAGAATACGTCATTTTTTCGTAAGATATTAACTTTTAATACAGAAATAAACACGACAAGTCTTAAAACAAATTTAATTCTCCGTATTCTAAAACATAGTGTTAAGCATCCACAAAAACTCGACAAAACGTGTACTTACTTTTAGTCAAACAGAATCTCGTTTCAAAAGATTGACATTGAAAGGCGAG